AAGGAGTTGCTATTGGCGATGGGCTTTCCTTGAGCTTGAGGGATGGATTTTGCGTATTGGCTGACCCATGTTAAATCCCAGAATCCCATATGGTACCTGAACCCTGCCAGGAGTGATCCCTAAGCACAGAGCCAGGAGTACGTCCTTGAGCATAGCCAAGTGTGGTCCCCAAACAAATTGAAATTGAAATGGGGCCTTTCCCCCCTGTTTCTATCATTGCATCTTACACCAAAAACTGCCTATCCCTATATATTAATTTGCTGTGCCTTACCTTATTAAGGTAACGGGGTTATAGCACAGTGGGTAGGGCATTTGCCTTGCACATAGCTAACCAGGCCAATCTGAGTTTGATTCTTCTGCCTTCGATTCTTCTGCCCTTCTTGGAGAGCCCGGCAAGCTACTGAGAGTATCTTGCCCACTTGGCAAAAGCCTGGCAAGCTACCTATGACGTATTTGATATGCCAAAGACAGTAACAACAAGTCTTACAATGCTATGGGGCCCACTTGAGCAAATCGATGAACAATGGGAGAACAGTGACACCTTATTAAATTACTGTAAATTAAAGTCATTCTTCAGACGACTGGGTGCATGTGGGAGAGGAAGAGAGGGAGGAAGAAAGAGGGAAGAGAGAAAGAGAGAGAGAAAAGAGAGGATGGGAGAGAGACAAAGGGAGAGAGGAGAGAGAAGGAGAGACAGAGACAGATACAGAGACAGAGATACGCCTGCCATAGAAGCAGGGATTTGTGGGAGAGAAACTAAGACATTGGTGCTGGGAAGTGTGCACCGGTGGAGGACAGGTGTTTGAACATTATATGACTTAAACCCAATCATGAACAACTTTGTAACTGTGTCTCTCACTGTGATTCAATTAAAAAATGAATAAACTAAAAAAATAGTTTGTAAATCTAAGAAAGAGCATGTTTAAGTCCCATATGTTCTTTTTGTTTTGTTTTCTTTGGGGGGCCACACCCAGCAATGCTCAAGGCTTACTCCTGGCTCTGCTTTCAAGGAGGTTCAGTCCTGGAGATGCTTGGGGACCAAATGAGATGCTGGGGATCAAGCCCAGGTTAGACAAATGCTCTAATTGTTGTACTCTCTCTCTGTTCCTGTCCCTCCCCCTCACCCCCCTTTCTTTATACAGTACAAAGTTAGCACTCCTCCACTGAGAGGCAGGAGTCTAAAATGCCTCAGCTTTAATCTGGGCAGGACTGTGATTATAGCAGAAATTACATGAGATTTCTTACCCTCTTCCTTTCCCTTTCCTGCCGTGTTTATGATAACGAGAGGTTGCATACTTAATTTTAGTGCTAGTACTTTCTAATTGTAGTGCGTTCTGGGGTGTGTGGGGGAGATGTACCTGGTTGCAGACTAAAATTCTCTAGTCCAAGAATCATGAAATAACCAATAATAGTAGAAGCTGGATGCCCCAGGAGAAAAGAAGACAACCAAGGTCATTGTGAACTAAACTGATATCGAGCCAGACTTAGAATCAGCCTTACGAGAGATGGTGAGAAAATACTGCTGTCCTTGCAAGATCCAAGAAGTTTTTAATAGATTTCCATCTCATACTAGGGACTATATTGATTTGCTCCAGCAAGAAGGAAACCTCCTCTAGAACGCCCGGGAGAAGTCACTGCCTAAGCGAATTTGAACTTATAACAGCATCATTCTCTGAAACCCATCCATCCTTTTTATGCAAAGCAAATGATCTCACTAGGTATCCAAGAACCATATCCAAGAATCCATGACTGGATGGTTTAACCAGTGGTGTTCATCCAAGGGGGTTGGTATACTCTTCTGTAAAACAGGTTTAAAATGACTTTTTAAATGAATCACTTTCTCCCAAGTGTGGAAGCCAGAAGTCTTAGTAAGGTGTTATCAGGTTTCATTTTGCTGAGGCCTCTCTCCCTGATGGGCAGACGGCGGCCTCCAAGGCTCTCCCCTGTGTGCTTCCCTTTCCTGTTCATTTAAGTACTCCTGTCAAATTGGATTAGGATCCACCCCCCAAATTTATTAACCAATTTTCTGAAGCTCTCATTTCCAAATACAATCTCAGTCTGAGGTATGGTGGGGGTGGGAGGGGTAGGGCTTCAGAATATCAATTTTGCTGGAGTGGGGGAAGAAAGGGACACAATTAGACCTTTCACACAGATCGGAGCAGGGAAATGTCTGTATCTATGGTAGGAACACCACCTTCAGATCATCTGCATCTGATGGTGGCACTGATGCACCAGCCATAACTGTCTTGCCTGTCGGTTTCAGAAGATTTAGCTTGTCCTCTCTTATTTGTCTTTTCTCCATAGCCAGAAAAGCCAACACAGCCATTTGGTTAGCTGGGCATGTGGGTTCACCAGAAAATGGGCCTGAGCTATCCATTTGCTCGTATTAAAACCACAACAATTTTTAAATGAATTTTTCAGGTGTATTTTGCCAATACTATTTCATAATTTATCATGTGTGGGTTTTTTTTTGCTTTTTTCTTCTTTTTTTTTGCTTTTTGGGTCACACCCGGCAATGCTCAGGGGTTACTCCTGGCTCTGCAGTCAGGAATTACTCCTGGCGGTGCTCGGGGGACCATATGGGATGTTGGGAATCGAACTTGGGTTAGCCATGTGCAAGGCAAATGCCCTACCCTCTGTACTATCGCTCCAGCCCCTATCATGTGTGTTTTAAAAGGGTGCTGGGGGTGTGTGTGTCCCTCCAGGGCCCCCTGGCAATGATGGCACTGGGGATCAAATTCAGAGCCTTGCCCATGCCTGGCATGTGCTATACCACTGAGCCACATATTTGATGCCTACGGTTCATTTTGGAACAGACAGCAGGAAGTTGGCTTTTCTTTCATGTAAAAATGGTCAATTTTGCCATATGTGAATCAAGTGCATTTATATTTAATGATAGAACAGATAAATTTTGCTAGAATTCTTTCACAGTAATCCACCAGGTATTCTATTTCCTTCATAATCATCTTTATTAATGAAAAATTTCTTCTTCAGGCTGAAAATTGGGTATGGGTACTACAGTCTACACACATGTACTCTTAAATATATCTACTTTGAGTTCCCTCGAAATAAGTTATCAATATGGGGCTGGAGAGACAATACAGTATTGTGCCTGTACTCAGTCCCTGGCATACCATAGGATCCTCTGCACCTCACCAGGAATGATCCCTGAGCACAAAGCCAGGAATAAGCCCAGTACGCCACCTGTTTTTGTTGTGATCCAACACCCCCCAAAATTAAAAATAAAAAAGTTATTGATAACCCTTAGAAAATCCACTCTCCTCCTTCGAGTCTCTGTGGGTCCTTGGCAGGGGCCGTTTGAGGCAACCAGGCTTATGGATTGTTAATAGATTAGGCTGCAGACAAGATAAAAGAGGAAGGGAATGTATGTGCAGGTAGGTGTGGGAGAGAGAGAGATAGACTGGCTCCTAGTGGTTTTTTTTTTTTTAATGACATTACTCATTTCAGAGTGAGTGCTTTTATATTACTAGTATTCTCTTTTTTCTTAAATTCCCTCCCCCCTTCTTTCTCATTGTTCTTTCTGTGATGGGGAGTGAATGTCTTGCGTACACTTCCTTGGGGTGTCTGTAACACACATGGTTGTGGTGCATTAGAAAGTGACAGGGATCCACCAAAGCAGTGCTCTTGGGATGCCCTTCCGTGTGTGGAGGGTCCTAGGGATCAAACCTATGGCAGCATCCTCCTCATGGTTGCAAGACTGGTGCTCCACTGCCAAGCACTCCCTGGGCTCCTCTCTAGTATCTGTTGATCTCTCTCACTGGGGACAATCAGAGCCCATATTTAAAAATCATATGTTCCAATTTATATAATATTGTACATGATGCTTTAGGGTTGGGGAGGTGTCTAAGTGGTAAAGCACATGGCTTGCATTTGCTTAAACCCTCGGTTTAATCCTCAGAGAGGCAATACATACATACATACATACATACATACATAAGTAAATGGCCAGGGAGACAGAGTGACAGCTTGACTTCATGTTTTGCACGCAGAAGGGCTGGATTTTATCATCAGCACTACCGGGTCTCTCTGGCATCACCAGGACCGAGCACTGTGCTGGCAGTAACCCCTAAGTACTGCTGGGGATCAACAAAAACAAACAGTCTGGCCAAAGACCTGAGAAATAAGCTACTTCTCAGGTCTTCAAAAATTATACCTTTTGGATTTATCAAAAAGATACATATTTTAAAAATAGAAACGTTGTAAGAATTTACAGGTGTTATCAAGAGATTTCAATAGGTTACAAGGAAGTTGCCATTTTCACTAGGTAAATGAAACAAAAGAGGGAGGCCTGGAGTATTGGGGTACCCGGGTTTGGGGACTTACCAAACATATTTTATTTATTTATTTATTTATTTCGAATATATTTTAGACCGGGGTGGCCTGGCCTTTATTAAAATGATAGTTTGTATTCAGGAAAGGGTTATGATATCATGAGATGCAAGTACACCCAGGTTTTGATTGAATTGATGTGATTATTGCTTCCAGTGCCTGTGAGAGCTACTATCATTGTGACAGACGCGGTGGGGTTTCCTGTCTGGGAATCTCTGGGGCCCAGTTCACTAGTGCTCTAGTTCAGTCAGTAACAGCCCCAGAAGTACAAACATCTTGCCCTGCATCTGTCCTTTTGATTTTTTGTTTTGTTTTGTTTTATTATGGGGCCACACCCAGCAGGGCTCAGGGCTGACTCCTGGCTCTGCCCCTCAGGATCATTCCTGGTGGGCTGGGGGGTCAAGGTGGGATGTCGAGGGTTGAATCCGTGTACAAGGCAAGCACCCTGCCCACTGTCCAATGGCCCTGGTCTCTTGCCCTTTTGATTTTTCACTTATTTCTCAACAAGAAACACCATAGGAATTTATTCATCTTGGATCAAATGAAATTACAGGTCTATATATATGTATATTAAAAAAACACCCCAATGTTTCATTTTAAAAACTCAGGAGGAGAGAATAAAAAAGGAATGTCACTATCAACAATGAATTTGGAAGGAAGTCGATAAAGGACATGAGGGCAAGTTCTTTTGGAAATGCCTGTATTCTTGTATATGTTTCATTATAAAAGCAAACTTCGTCCTGGGGCCGGGGGGTCGAGGCCACCATCGCTGGGTTCTTCTGCACTGCCAATGTGCAGGGTGGTATAAATCCTCAATGTTGGTTGAATCTGTCTCTTCCTTGTACACTGGCATTTCATTCCAATTTAGGCTTCTCTTTTTCTTCTTCCATGCCTAGAAATACAGGCAAATAACATAATTTTAATAGTAGATTAAACCATGAGCAGGTTTTTAAAGTTCTTATATCCCCCTTCTTCTTCTCCACCCGTCTCCACTGTACCAGGAAGAAAAGTGATGTGGAACTTTCTCCAAGAACTCCCTTTTCACCTCTGCTTCCCCCCACCCCCACCCCATCCTCCCAAATCAAGACAAAATATCTCTGGGACACAAGTGGCAAAGACGTTCTTGACTCACTGAATTTGTAGGAAAATCCCAACCAGACTTCTGTAAACTACTGCTAGCAATAGGTGTGTAGTCAGTTTCAAATGGACTTTAATTTGGGTCCTGTTCCTTCCCGAGGAAAAGACCCTGGATTTTCCAAAAGCAAGACTTTTAAAAAAATGCTCATAGAATTTATTAGCAACAAGACAGGTTATTTCTATACCCTTGAGTACATCCTTAAATTCAGGCTTGCCTCTATTTGGAGCGATAGCACAGTGGGTAGGGCATTTGCCTTGCATGTGGCCAACCTGGGTTTGATTCCTCCATCCTTCTCGGAGAGCCTGGCAAGCTACCAAGAGTACCCCGCCCGCATGGCAGAGCCTGGAAAGCTCCCTATGGCATATTTGATATGCCAAAAACAGTTACAACAAGTTTCACAATGGAGATGTTACTGGTGCCCTCTCGAGTAAATTGATGAATGAGATGACAGTGCGACGGTGCTACAGTGCTCTATTTAATCCAATCCTGGCAGGAATTACTTTCTTCCTGAGAGACAGAGATGCACTGAACTGCTAAGACCTCTGCCCATTCCTATAGTGAACAGTTTGTGATTTTCATCGTCTCAATTTTCCTCAATTAAAGGTCTATCTGGCAAAAGCCTCCATGCTCCTTTGTTTTTCAACTAAACATTTTGCTTCCAACACCAAATTCTCAGAGACTTGTTGAAACCTAAGAATCCCAAATATTGCTTTGCAAATTTATTGCTATTAAAAAAAAAGGATTGCAGCTCTCTGATGTCTGAACTCAGCCTGTGACTGTTTGGTCCTTGATTGTATCTTGAGCTCCCAATTTGACTTGTCTCATAGTTGGAGCTCAACTGGTTATTATGGAATAAATGGCTGAACAATGAACAAAGAGAAGACCTCGGAAGGCTGCACTAGTGGAGCAACAGCAGAAATAAATGTGAAACTTCCCCCAGAACCAAAAATGATAAAGCTTCACCCTAGTGAGTCACTGGATGGCGAATACATTAGGAGACCCTCACTGCACCCTCCCTCCTTCCCACCCCCCCACCCCACCATGTGCAGGAACAGCTCAGCAGCTCGGTGATTTTTTTTGTGTGTGTGTGGGGGGGGGGGGCTGGGCGGGGATTTCGGGATCTGGAGCATGTGGGTCATGTACTGCACAGGTGTCCTCAGAATGAAGGTCTGGTTTCCATGACTAAGGAACTGGCAGGCATCTCAACTGCTTTTTCCAAAGTTCTTCTTGGAACAGTCCACACTGAGAAGCAAGGACATCTGAGGAGCTGGGGCAGTGGCTGTGGGGTATGGGGGAGGTGGGGGGTGAGGCAGGAGATGCCTGAGTTGTTGGGTCACCCAGACTCAGGCAGAAAACCACGAATCAGGGTCCCATCAAACTGCACACAGGACTTGCTCTCAGCTAGCGTCCGCCTTCTGCTCCAGTACAGAATCAAGTGTGGGATGTGGGGGTGGGGGGGGCAGGGGTCAACTGCTCTTCGTTCAAGTCCCTTTCCTCCTGAGCCTGCTCCTGGACAATGGGGTGACCTGGCAGCAAGTGTGGAATCTTCACTAGCGGGGGTTGGGGGGAGATCCTGGGATGTTCACTGACCCAGGCAGGGAAAATGGCTCACCCTCTATTTTTGTTTGGCAGCTTAGAGAGGAGGGGAAAAAGTGATGCAGCTGCAACTAATATTTGGAAGAATCCAAGGTTCTTCCGAATTTCCACCCCCGAGGCAGAAAGAAACCTGTCACCAAGTTGATGCAGGCACCGCACCGTGCACTGGGGTGGAGGGGTGGGGGGAGACAACGGGGACAGGCCATGACGCTCATTCACCTAGGCTGGACCAGTGCTAGGACTAAGTGGACTTGAGGATTGCCGGTGGGGAGCAAAGATAGATGTGTCTGTGACATGGGCTGGCTGTGCACATCTCGAGTCTTCATCACCCCCTTTCTCCACACCCTCATCCCAACTTTATCCTTTGGACAGTAGCACTGTAGCACTGTCCTCCTGTTATACATTGATTTGCTCGAGTGGGCACCAGTAAGGTCTCCACTATGAGACTTGTTGTTACTGTTTTTGGCATATTGAATATGCCATGGGGAGCTTACCAGGCTCTGCCGTGTGGGCGAGATACTCTTGGTAGCTTGCTGGGCTCTCCAAGACGGACAGAGGAATCGAACCTGGGTCAGCTGCATGCAAGGCAAATGCCCGACTCACTGTGCTACACAAAGGTTAATTACCCTGAGATGGGGCACCCTGGTCTGACACACTGGAATGTGAATATTTTCTCGGCTTCAGTAGAGAAATGTTCCAGCCTTTCTAAGATGAACTGGGAACCTCTCTGGCCCCAACCTCTATCCCATTCATGCACTGAGGCCCTCACCCTAGTATCTTGGGGAAAAAAAAGAAAGGCAATGGAGTTTCTGGAGCACTGTTTTTTAGAGACATTCAAGATGTGACATCCCCTGGGCCCCAGGAATCATCTCAGCAGAAAACGGGAGAACACTGTGAGACTCTGTCTATTGATCTGGACCTCCCAGGCAATGTACCTCTGGGGTATTTTTCCATGAATACTAGACCAGTAGATAAACACTTCCAGCTTGGACTGAAAGGGACACAGGCAGGATGGAATGATGAAGGAAGCGTCATTCCAAAGCAATTTCACCTTAGTTCCAGAATGTGGGGGAGGACTGCCACGCAGGTGGAGAGGGTGGGTCACGCGCTGCTTCCCTCCCCATAAGGACAGGGCACCTTTAATGTCAAATGTCAAATGCCTTGCTAACTCTTCCACTGGATTAGGAACTGTGATTCTTTCATCCTCTTCCCCCTGCCATCTTCCTTCCTTCCTTCCTTCCTTCCTTCCTTCCTTCCTTCCTTCCTTCCTTCCTCCCTCCCTCCCTCCCTCCCTCCCTCCCTCCCTCCCTTCCTTCCTCCCTCCCTCCCTCCCTTCCTTCTTTCCTTCCTTCTTTTCTCTCTGTCTCTCTTTCTTTCTTTCTTTCTTTCTTTCTTTCTTTCTTTCTTTCTTTCTTTCTCTTTCTCTCTTTCTTTCTCTCCTTCCTTCCTTCCTTCCTTCCTTCCTTCCTTCCTTCCTTCCTCTTTTTCTTTCTTTCTCTCCCCTCCCTCCCTCCCTCCCTCTCTCCCTCCCTCCCTCCCTCCCTCCCTCTCTCCCTCCCTCCCTCTCTTCCTCCCTCCCTCCCTTCCTCTCTCCTTTCCCCCTCCTTCCTTCCTTTTTTTTTTTTTTTTGCTTTTTGGGTCTCACCTGGCAATGCTCAGGGGTTACTCCTGTCTCTGCACTCAGGAATCACTCCTGCTGGTACTAGGGTACCATATGGGATGCCGGGAATTAAACCCGGGTTAGGCACATGCAAGGCAAACACCCTCCCTGCTGTGCTATGGCTCCAGCCCTGCCATCTTTATCTTTTGGAGGGGGGAAGCATTATCCATGCTTGGAGAGGCGGCGATGGTCTGTGCTTGGAGAGGATATATATATTCTGGTCCGATCCTACCCTGGGATTTTGGAAGCAGAGAATTTTTATTTGCTTTCACAGGTTCACAATTGGGAAGCAACTCTTAGTCTTCCCCAACCCTAACTGAGATGAGACTTTGTACTTAAACGTTGAAGTTAGAAGACTTCAGGAACTGTTGGGAATGGAGTTTTCAAAGATGAAGGACATACATTTTTTTAGGGGGGTGGGGAGGAGGTAAAAGACAGGTTACGAATTGTGTTTTGGTATATTGAAGTCTTAAAGCCTGGTACTTGGGCATGAACTGTGTTCGGAGAGAGGGTCTTCTATCAGGTTCAAATAAAATCATGGAGATGGTACTAATGGTCTCTTTATTCATTTATTTTAAAATTCTGGGGACACACAGTGATGTTCAGGTACTGCTCCCAATACAGAGCTTGGAAGCTACCCCAGAAGGTGCTCAGGGGATCACGCCATGCCAGGAATCAAAACCAGGCCCCCTATGTACAAACCACACACACACTCTGCACTTGGAGCCACCTCTGTATGAAAGGGCATCCTTTGGAGACGGCTGTCACACATAGGTCAATTGGAAGGATAATAGGAAGACAATCAGCCTCGCACAGCCAAGGAGAGGGGCCTCCTACACAGCCCTCAGAAGGAAATAATCTTACCAATAATTGGGATGGAAGGGAGTAGATAAGGTGAGATGAGAATATGGCCGTAGCACTGTAGCAATGTTCTCCCGTTGTTCATCGAGCTGCTTGAGTGGCCACCAGTAATGTCTCCATTGTGAGACTTGATACTGTTTTTGGCACATTGAAATACACCACGGGGAGCTTGCCAGGCTCTGCCATGGGGGCAGGATACTCTCAGTAGCTTGCCGGGCTCTCCAAGAAGGGTGGAGGAATTGATGCTGCGTACAAGCAAATGCCCTACCTGCTGTGTTATTGCTACAACCGGTAAGGAAAGGAATGGCCAGTGTGGAATGTCTAGAGTGGGCCCTTATAACCTGATTTTTTTTTAACTAAAAAACATTTTTTTTTTTACTTTTGGATCATATCCAGCGGTGCTCAGGGATCACTATTTTTTTTTTATTACTATTAGTGAAACACCATGAGGTACAGTTATAGACTTACAAATTTTTGTGCTTGGGTTTCAGTTATAAATGATCAAGTACCCATCTCTCCACCAGCGCTTTTGATGGGGCTCAGGGAACCATATGGGATGCAGGGGATTGAGCCCAGGTTGGCCACAGACCAGACAAGCACCCTGCCTGCTGTACTATCTCTTTGGTCCCTTGAGAGGGTGTTAACCTTCTCTGAATTCAGTTGTTTGATACTTGTCTCTTGCTTTCAATTTTGATGACTTGAGGACAAGTACCTGAGAGACAGCACCTACTGTAACATCAGTATCTTGATTTGTACCTACTGTAACATCAGTATCTCTTCCAGCTTCTGGAAGTGTGAAACAACATGGGTCTATTGTGTAAATAACTTAGTTGGTGGATGTCTTTGTGGCTGGCTCAGTGGCACTGCCTTGGAAGGTTTCAGAACAGAGGAGATACCTGAGTCACACCTGGCAGTGCCTGGGGCACCCCCAGGGCTGTATCCAGGATGCCTGTGGGGCAACGCAGTGCTGGGAATTCAACCTGGGTTGCTTCTCACCACTGGACTACCTCCCAGCCCTGTCTTGTGATTTTAGCCGTGAGATTCTTTTTTCTGAGTCATGTGTCTGAGTGCGCCTGTGTCTGGGTTTCCCAAGGTGACATTCTGATGATTCACTAGAAACAATACTGGATGAACCTCAGTCAGAAAAGGCTGGCTCTGTGACCAGCTATTTCGGTTAGTCACTAAGATTTCTAAGCCTCAGCTGTCCCTTAGAAAAAGAAAAGAGTTGGCTTAGAGTATTTCCTTCTCATACATTTTTTTAAAAAGTTGTGACTTAAATGAGTTCTAATTTCATTGGTAAGGCAGTTTTATCTTAAATTGATGCCCGCATAATATAACTAAGAAGAAATAGTAAATCACTAAAAGCCATATGGCTCAAATGAATGGAGTTCAGATGTGGTATTCCTGGGGCAGAGAGACAGTCCCAGGGTTCAGGCACTTGTCTTACATGAAGCTGATGGTGGCTCAATCCCTAGCACTGCATATGGTTTCCTGAGCACTACCAGCAGTGACCTTTGAGGACAAAGCCAAAAATAACCTCTGAGTACCACCAGGTATGGTCCTCCAAAACAAAAGAAATATGGTAGTTGTGATTCTTGGGGGTGAATTATTTGGGGTACATTAAGCAAATGTGTCACTGCAATCTGTCACATGATTCTACTCAATTCATTCTTAGGCGGACACAACACCTTGTTTCCAATTAGTAGTTTCAAAGACAGCAACCAACAGAACCAGAGAGCTGATATGACCAAAAAGGTACAAGGTGGGACAGAGGGAAAATTCGAATCAGGTGCAGGAGTAATGGGAACTCAGCTCTAATCCACTGAGTCTAGAAGGAAAGTGTGAACCTGGCATAGTCAGATGAAAAAACATTCTGAAAAACTAAAATATCTAGACATAATGCGAAGTACCACCATTTAGAAATACTGGTTCAAAAACAACACTTCCTATTCTGTTTATGTTTAACATAATGGGGGGGGGGCAGGAACAATTTAAGGGAGGTCCTCCATCTGTCTGTAACCATCTCCCAAATGAAATGGATACTCTCTTGGCACACAATTATCTGCTTCTGTGGCATTCACTAGATAGTTCTATGTAGAAAGACTTAATCTCTTTATCTGAAATAAGTTACAAAATGTTAATGAACCCTAATTCATGTTACTTAAGAAAATGGCACAAATTAAATTGAACAGATCACACTCATTTACAAAACCTTGTTTCACTGTTTGTTTTTTTAACTTCGCAGTCAAAACTGCTAAAATGAAGATTTATTTCCTTTCCTTTTTTCAGATGTTTATTAACTTTGATTATTCTTTATTCTCCTGGCTTTCAGGTTATCTTCTCATATGAGCACCAGGACCAAACTCACTGTCAAAATCAACAAATGATGGAAAAATGCTTATAAGCATTCTGTGGACAATGTAGATTGGAAATATTAGCTTCAATTTTAAATATTGCCTTTCTCCCAGAAGCTGAGAAAGTTTCCAATTTGATCCTAAAAATATTTCTGTAAGTTAACTAAATAGTTTTTATAAGTTAACTGATGGGGAAAGATTACTCTTCCCATTTACAGGGAAGAATATCTGGTATTCTAAGCTGTGGCCTGAATTAAAAACAACTATTTGACAATATTATTTTTTTAAAAAAATAGACCACTTATTAAAATAAAGCCAGCTGCTGAGAAAAGAAACCCTCAAATTCCTTTGAGCCATTTAATATTGGTTAATATCTTAACCGCATACAATCTTAGAGGATTCCTGACACACAAGATGTCTGATTCAATAACCATGCAACAATTGTATTTTATTTGATTAGATTAACTTCCTGGCTTAGTGTCTGGCACTGAGTAGGGCACTCGGTGTTGGCAAAAAAAAAAAAAAATAGATCACTGGGAGGGGCCTGAGATATAATACAGTGGGTAAGGCACTGGCCTTGCATGTAGCAACTGGGTTCAATTCCCCACACTCCTTATGGTCCCCGGAGAACCTCCAGGAGTAATTCTGAGTTCAGAGCCAGGAGTAACTCCTGAGCCTTGCTGGGTGTGGCCCCCAAACAAAACAAAACAAAACAACAAAACAAAAAATGATTGAAAGGTCATGTCTAAAATGTTGTGACCACATTGGCAGCGATGACAAGAGCTTTCCTAAACCCCCAAGCCATCTTGCCATTGGGTGGACTTCCATGCAGGACTCAAATCACTAAATATCTGTAACTGTTTCTTTTTCCATGGTGCCATTATTTTATATTTTATATATCTTACGGACAGTTTGGGCAGGTTTTGCACAGCTTGGATAACATTATGTGCTTTGCAAAGATGGAGGCTCTGCCATAAATAGAAACAAAAGAGAAATGAAGTCAGAGGTTAAGAGTTTTTGCAGCAATGAAATACTACCCTTTACTGCCCGCACCTCTCTGCCTCCATCAGTCCTTGAATCAGACCTGTCACTGGTGCTGCACAGGGCCAGAGGTACACTGTGCTTAAGAGTTTTAACAGAATGGTGAAGAGACCTCTAGGATGACACTGCACCTACCCAACGGGTTTCAAAATAAGTGGAGGCTGGTATAGCTTCTAATGACACTGGTTACATTTATACTTTCTTTAATGGAGGGTCTCTTTAACTAAGGCAGCTAAAGACAGAATGAATGTCTTTTTTTTTTCCTGCTAACACTACATTTCCTCCTATAAAAATTTATAGATACGCTTCTCTTCTCTTACTTCTGAACGTCTTACTAGCTAATAAGACAGAGTGAATAATATACCTTCCCTGCAAGTGACAGCGGTTCTTAAATTAATATTGTGGCTATAAAACAATAATTCTTCCTAAGTGATCCTGTGCTACGGTGGAATTTTCCTTAAGTCGCTACCCATGCTCTTTGAAAAAGAAATTCTCTTGCTTTATGCTCCTCTTAACAATACTTACTTCTCTCTGTGTCCCAGATATAGTTGTTCAGAACTTCTCCCAGGAGGTACAAAAAGTTCATTAAGATGGTTGTGGACCCAAAGAAGATGATTCTGGCTCCCTGGCCAATGTGTTCCAGGAAAGGGTACACCCACATCCCGGTGACATGATGCACCCAACACACCCTGGAATGGAATGGGAAGGAAGAAAAAGACAGGAGTTACTTGCAGGTCAGATTTGGGGTGGGGGGAGGGGTGTTACAATACAGAGCCTCTATCCCAGCCATTCCTCAAAAACCAGTCACTAGTTTGCTCTTATCGCTCAGGAGCTACCAGAAATTTTGTTTGTTTTCTTTGGCTTTCTATTTATACTGGGAGAAGTTCTTGACACCGGAAGAAGAGCTCAGGTGGTGCAGAAATTTCCAGAATGCTCTTACCTCTCCTGCACGTTATAAAGCTGCAGTGCCATAGGGCAGTCACCAAAATGAGGAAACTGATATTAGCAGAGTGCTAGAATGGAACAGCAGATGTTATTCAGAATTTTCACATTTTCCTATTCAAGAATTCAACCCAGGAGGCTGCATGTCCTGTGTCCCGAGCCTCCTCCAATCCAGCAGTTTCTCAATCTCTTCTTATACTTACTTAACACTCGAGGGTTCATGGCAAGTCTTTAAAACTGTTCTTTTATCCAAATGTTTTTAAGAGTCTTTGTAATCTCTGCTGTAAATTATGAAACCATTTTGCTTCAGTTAGACAATCACACTCTACTATGCCTTAGGTGAACATGTGCCAGGCGTCTTGCCCTACTGCCCCCTCTAGATACCAATATGTATCCCATATACTGCATGTATTTCAGTCTGTACCCCAAAGGTGCATCCCATAATCCTGCTGACGAATGACCTTTCGTATTCTGATTTTTGGATCCCCTAATTATTCCTTATTTTTTCCTTCTATATAACACTTTATTATTCTGTTTGTGTTCCAGAAATAGTTTAGACTCGGTGGGAATAGTAGTATCATCAAACCCACTGTTTTCGTAGGTTTGATTTAGACTGTTTGCTTCATTGGTTTGGTCCTGATATAATTTCTAAGAGCTAAATTCCAGAGTATTATTGGATTTCTCACTATATCAACCTTCATCAATTTTGAAGAGGATAGAAAATAGAAATAATTTTGCAATCGGTTTGGAGAAAAAAGTACAATTATTTTTGGTGAGGTTTCGGGGTACTTTCAGGGTACCTGTCAATCATCTGTCACTGAGAACCAAACACAGGGCATCACACATGCTAGATTTATTCTCTACCATTTGAGCTATCAGCCTGGTCTGAGATTACTTTTTATACTTACTTTGGACTGTTTTCCTTATTATACAGGGCCTTTTTCCTCTTAAATTTTTTTATTGTAATACTGTGATTTACCAAGTTATTTATAATACAACTGTTTTAGCTATTCAATTCCACCACCACTCCAACCACTAGTGTGACCTCCACTAGTTTCACACCTACTTCCTCAAGTTTTCCCCCTTTACAAGGCAAAAAAAATTTTACTTCACATTGCTTGTTATAACCAAATGGCAATTGGAACTATTAAAAAATCAATAAATGTCATGATTGTTATATCTCACAGTGGCGTTACAAAAGTCATTGTCTAAGGACTTACTGAACTGATCGGTAGCAATTGAGCTATTTATGTTGTTTTCATTCAGTGAGCTTGGAAGTCTTCTATGCAATTTTCCCATCAAATTTTCCATGCTCCTACTGAGCTGTCAGTACTACAAAACGTGGATGTGTTGGAAGCACATATGCAGCCACACACTCTGGGAGTTGTGGAGCTCTAAGTATTTGGTGGCTTAATGGCTTGATGGTTTGATATTTAATTGTGAAGCTGAGAATGTTGGCAGAGAATGTTGGGTGTTGGTTGAGGCTGCTGGGTCTTCTCACAGGGGTTTCTGAGAAGATTCCAGAGTTCTCAGCTTGGAGACCAGTCCATCTGGATGATTTAGTTCTTTTCAAGATTTTGTGTGGAGCTGAGTCGTTTCTATGCCTGGGTGTGAGTAGGGGCTATTGGCCCTTCCAGAAGAAAGGAAAATTTTTGCACCTCCATTCTGACAAAATGCATAGCCTTAGTTCTCTTTATGAAGTTTGTCTACATATATATTACCTACATGTGTATATCTGAGTGTTAATATGTGACACTGATTTCCTTTTTTTTTTTTTTCTGATAAGGGAGACCAAAAAAATATTGGGTACTTCTGACTACAGGTAAAACAATCCTGGGATTAGTTACCATAGAACCTGCAGTCTCAATGATGGTGATAATACTTGTCTCAAGAAGTTGAAAAGTGGTGGGCTGGAGTGATAGCACAGTGGGAAGGGCATTTGCCTTGCATGCGGCTGACCCTTGTTTAACTCCCAGCATCCCATATGGTCCTGTGAGCACTGCCAAGAGTAATTCCTGAGTGCAAAACCAGGAGTAACCCCTGTGCATCTCTGGGTGTGACCCAAAAAGCCAAAAAAAAAAGTTGAAAACTGGTTCTGGAAAGGTGGTGAATAAATATTACCCCCCACCTCTTTTATTTTTGTTGGTGCAAGGATCTAACACATGCAAGACAAGTATCTTCCACTAATCTAACACTAATTACTGAAATATTACTTTTTTAATGTATAACTTATAGAAACATATTTACACAGAACACTTGTGATATTAATATTTCATAGGCCCAGCAATTTAACATATAAACATATATTCAAAAAGACTTATTTTTATTTTTTTGTTTTGGGGACACTACCAAGTGATTGCTTTGGTGCTAACAATCCAAGTATCCATCAGCTAAAGAATGTGTGAGCAAAATAAAATGGGTTGTATACATATACAATTAAATATTATGCAGTTATAAAGAAAATAAAATCTCGATATATGCTACACCACGAATGGACCTTGAAAACATTATGCAAAGTGAAATAAGAAAAACACAGAAAAACAAATCAAAACTTATGATTCTACTTCCATGAAATTTGAAAAAGGCAAATTCATAAAGACAGAACATATAATAACATAAAATAACAGATTATTAATGGTTGGGGAGAGGGGCATAGGGAGTTATTAAATATAATGAAGGTAGCATTTATGTTGAGGATAAGAGATTGTTTTGGGTATAGATAGTAGTGATGGTTACATAATATCATGAATTTATTTAATGACACTGGATTATACACTTACAAGTGGTCAAAAACAATAAACATTATATCATGTCTATTTTGCCACCATTAAAAATTTCTAAGGAGTAGAAATTAGTGTAACAATTCAATCAGCTAATCAGTGGCTGAATAAATAGTAGTACTCCTACAAAAAAATAAAAAAAAAGAAATTAGTGTAAAAGTATCAAAAATGTTTCCTTGGTGTGGGGAAAAATAACAACCAGAAAATTTGAGAAATGCTGCCTGAAAGCCAAGTGTCAGTCATCATGTCTCCATGTCAGCCTGAATGACTGTCCCAACTAATAGATTTTTTTCCAAAAGCAGATGCCAAGTGAATCAAATTTTCTGTTCTTTAAAACGGAAGCATTTGTGAGTATCAGCAGAAATTAAAATTTTTAAAACCATCCCACATATTTCTGATACATCATACTTTTTCTGTCCATAACTTAGAAGCATTTTATCTTCTTAATCTTGTCTTAACTAGCACAAGTATTATGTGCCCATCCAGTGGCTTATTAATTTCCATCAAGATAATATGCAATATCCCCAAAATGCAATACTATAAAGTTGTAATTGGTCTTTCAAAGCAACTTCCAAAATTATAGTCTGACTCACCATAAAATTGTTTCCTCAATTAGGCAAACTAGGAACAATTCAAATTATGAATGGCAGTTAGAGTTTTAATACCTGTTCTAACATTCTACTTGTTTTTCATACACTAAAACTTCCATTTGCAGTTCTCTAAAGCATCTCTGAAGTTAGGTCTCAAAAGTCCTCGGATGTTGTTTGCAATGTATTTCCATTCTGTGCAGAATCATTTTGTAATCCTGAATAGCTATAACATCCATAACCATATCCTCTGTAAATGCAGGTGACTCCTAAGTTTGTATCTCCAGGGTTGGCCTTTCTCTGAACTCCAGAACTGCATACAATGGCCCACTGTATCTCACTCCTCAGGAGATGCATTTTCAATCTGAGAGTTCCAGGAGGTCATCATTATCCTCACATCCTTATTACTGCACATGGTCTACTCGCCCCCTCCCCATCACATCTTCCACTTCTCCATCCAATGACTACTTAACGAACTGTATCAGATGCAATTCTGTCTGTACCACAACGCTGACTCTCTAAGAGTAGAAGCCAGAGAGGAACTAGATGGTTCTGCAAGAGTTCAAAAGCAACTGGTGTTGGCGCAGATGTGGGGAGAAAGGGACTCCTTTACTGCTGGTGCAACTGGTTCAGCCCTTTTGGAAAACAGTAGATGATTCCCCAAACACTAGAAATTGAGCGTCCATTGACCCAGCAATACCACTCTTGGGAATATATCCCGGAGAGGCAAAAAAAGTATAGTCGAAATGATATCTGCACTTCTATGTTCATTGCTGCACTATTTACAATAGCCAAAATCTGGAAAAAACCCAAGTGCCCGAGAACAGATGACTGGTTAAAGAAACTTTGGTACCTCTACACAATGGAGTACTATGCAGCTGTTAGAAAAGATGAAGTCATGAAATTTGCATACACGTGGTACTACATGGAAAGTATCATGCTAAGTGAAATGAGTCAGAAAGAGAGGGACAGACATAGAAAGATTGCATTCATCTGGGGAATATAAAGTAACAAAATAGGAGACTAACATCCAAGAATAGTCGAGATAAGTACCAGGAGGTTGACTCCATGGCTGGAAGGCCAGCCACACACGCTAAGGGAAAAGGCAACTCAGATAGAGAAGGGAACACCAAGTAAAGGGTGTTGGGAGGATCCTCCCAGGATGGGAGATGGATGCTGAAAGTAGACCATAGACCGAACATGACTGCCACTCAGTTCCTCTTTTGCAAACCTCAGCAACCAAAAGAGAACAAAAAGAATGCCCAGTCACAAAGGTGGGATGGGATTGGGGGGCGGGGGGCAAGGAGGTGGGAGAGATATTGGGATCATTGGTGGTGGAGAATGGGCACTGGTGGATGGGTGGTTACTTGATCATTGTAT